ATTAAGCAGGGCATGTTGCAATACATCTCAAATAGTTACTATAGTAACTTTTTCCATGAGTGAATTCAGAGCAGAAAAAAAAAAAAATCACTTTGTGGGGAAAGGCTGCTGAACAGTTTTGGGTATTCAGCAATTTCTGCAATATGGAGCAGCCAGAGGCACAACTGATCAATGTTTCATTGTTCACATCTGTAATTTCAGAGCTGTGGAAGACTGCAAAAGTAGTAGTGATTAAAGTAAAGTTTAATGGACCCACTTCTTCACCAAGGTTGCAGTGTGACCGTTAGCTCAAGTGTTGCATTAATAAAGGATTTTAAAATACATTGAAACTGTTTCTAAAATAACCTCACATATCAAATTAAATGGATAAAGAAAAACAGCGTAGGTAGGATGTTCAATGCACACTATTTTTTACCAGTAAGCTGTTTTTCCATGGGCTTTTATGATGGACTGAACACATTCTGTTTATGCATTATCTCTGAAATCCAGAGGGGTCCCAAATTCCCCCTAAATATAGTTCCCTCAGTGGCAGTACTTCTGTGTTAGGCTTCCCACATAAACGCATGCAAGCCATACAAAAAGTGAGGAAAAACACATGCGCAGAAAGTTGCAAGCTGAAACACAACGGTAAAATTAACTGGCATTGACAGAACCTAAATGTTTAGAGTATACTCCTTGGTCTTTACAGTTCAACCTTTAAACCACACACATTTAAAAAATGTGAAATGCTGCTATCTTTCTTACACAAAATAGTACTCATAACTAACAAGTTACCAGCTCCTACCCAGGACAGCAGTCATCAAATGAGAGACATTATCAGATCTCCACCCCCTCAGAGATTTGGTTTGTTTTGCGTGCCCTGCATTCTATCCACGAGTGCAAGTTCTCCAACAAATATGTTTAGCTGAGCAAACACAGCTCAAAGCTGGCCCACGTAATTCCCAATTCAGTCTAAGACAAGATTCACCCAGACCAGTATCCCATGTGACAGGGATTGCAGGAAAACCCTTCACCAACCACTACAGGGTCTCTCTATTCACTCTGTCAGACTGTAGGTTTTTGTCAGGTTTATTATTGAGCAGAAAGGTTTGATTCTGATACACTAACAAAGCAGGCCCAAGAACAAAGTCCACTGAAAGAAAAACAAAACACAGCAGAGAGTTAGATGTTTCAGAGAATAATGTAGATATTACCATCATGGACACATTGAATCTGACATCTGTGTTTTTCAATTCAGACATTCAAGTGCCTTCCCTTCCAGATATGGGAAGCCACCACTCTTCAGCTTTTAAAGAAACAGTTTTCCCAAGCAGGACTTAAAAAGTATAAAATCTCAACACCTGTTTTAATGCTTTAAGATTTAGTGGAAGATGAGCTGCTTTACATTTCTCTAAGAACATATGGCTCCCTAGCATTTCCTTGTATGTTACTAAATTTCTGTGAGTTATTTTACCTATTATCAAATTTATTATTAAAGCAAAACAGTTTCAATGTGTATATGGGCTACCTGTAAAGACTCAGTCACTGTATTCTCCTTAAGTAGCTTCTAGCAGGTTGTGCCAAGACACTCGAAGTAATCAACCTTTGGTATTTCTTTCCTGCTCATATTTATTGGCACACAGAAAAGGCAACAGATTATGTAATTATTAACATGATTTGTTGTAGTCTGTGATGCATACAGAAGCACGGCTTTATTTCTGGAGAACTAATATAAAATGTTTGAGACAATATTTGGTATTTGGACATACTGACAAGAAAGTTATGCTAAATTAAAAAAAAAGATCTGTATCTTTTCAGTAATTTAACAAAACAGATTAGCTTTTAACACTTAGTTATTCCGCAACATTTTCTATTCTTCCCCAAAGAACATCAATGCTATGACTACAACTCACAGTACTTCCTTCAGTGAAAAACTATTACACCATATAAAGCCTTTGTTTCAAAGTTTTTTCCACTTATCACAATGAACATATATATGTCATTCTTTTTCTTCCGAAGAAGAAAGGAAGTACATACTTCAACTTAATCAACATTACATAGTTTGCTTGTTGGAAAATAAAATCTGACGGCAGACTTCAAACTGCAGAAATATGCTCTGGTATTTTTTTCCTGTGGGAAATGGATGGTTTCATGGGTTGTACTGATAGGATAATTAAACAAAGCACACGTAGTACAGAAACTCAGAGCTAAAGCCAGAAATAGAATGTTACTGATTTACTAATTCAAGTAATGTAGAAAGCTGAATGGCTTTATCTTAAATTGATTAGATCTAGATTGAAACTGAAAGAAAACTGAGGTTTATCCTCAAAATCAGTTCACACAAGTGTACTCCTCCAAACTTGTAATGCAGAGGAGCTGTTTGTCATTTATCACCACTTCATCACTGCCCCCCCAACAGAGGTTATCACACATACAGGTCTTCTGACAGAAGATTTACCATGGAATCTTATTTGTGCGTTTCAGGCAAGTCCCAAGCCACCAAAAGAAAGTGATCAAGCTACCTGGTTAAGATGCTTAAAACAAGTTCTGGAGTACACACATGAACAGCTCTAAGAAAAACTGCAGAATCGCGTGGGTTGGAAGGGGGCTCTGAGGATCCTCTACTCCAATCCCCCTGCTAAAAGTAGGTTCCACAGAATAGGTTGCACAGGAACACATCCAGATGTGTTATGAATATCTCCAGAGGAGACTCCATAATTCCTCTGAGAAGCCTGCTCCAGTGCTCTCTCACCCTTACAATAAAGTTCTTTCCTCACGTTTGGATGGAACCTCATGTGCCAGTTTGCCACTGCCCCTTGTCCTGTCAATGCACACCACTGAAAAGAGCCTGGCCCCATCCACTTGACTCCCACCATTTAGATATTTATAAGCATTGATAAGACTCCCCTCAGCCTCCTCTTCTCCAGCTCAACAGTCCCAGCTCTCTCAGCCTTTCCTCACACAGGAGTTGCTCCAGGTCTTTCGTCATCTTCGTGGCTTTCCACTGGACTCTCTCTGGAAGTTCCTTGTCTTTTTTGAACTGGGGAGCCCAGAACTGGACACAACACTCCAGGTGAGGCCTTGCCAAAGCAGAGTAGAGGGGGAGGATCACCTCCCTCAACCTGCTCACCACACTCTTTTTAATGCTCCCCAGGATACCACTGGCCTTCTTGGCCATCACCAGGGCACAGTTCTGGCTCATGGCCAACTTGTCCACCAGGACACCCAAGTCCTTCCCTGCAGAGCTCCTATCCAGAAAGTCAGCCCCTAACTTGCCCTTGTTGAACATTGTCAGGTTCCCCCCCTGCCCAGCTTTCCAGATCTCCCTGAATGGCTCCACAGCCCTGTGGTGTGTCGGCCACTCTTCCCAGTTGTGTATCATCAGCAAACTTGCTGAGGATGAACTCTATCCCTTCATGCAGGTCACCTCTGAAGATGTTAAACGAGACCAGAAAAGAATGCAGGGTGTCACTCCTACTAGGGCAACACAGTAGCAAGTGACAGAGTCCTCAAACAGTAAAGCTATGGACAGAACAAACACCTGCCCTAGAGGAAGAGAGTTTACAGGGGAACCTGCACCCTGTAAATTAATATCAAGTTAATTGCAAGACTACTTCTGGATCAGTTCCGAGAAAATAAAAACATTTTATACTGTTCTTCAGCCTCGGTATTTTCTTGAAAGAACAATCATAGTAAAGATTATTTATTACACTTAGAAGTACTGACAGGTAAAATAAATTTTCTAGTCAAAAGTATTTAATTCACAATTTTATATTTGACAACTTTTAATATAGCCATAGCCCTTACAAAACAGAAAGGAAACTACTTACTGGTTGCATAGCTCTGGCTGTCTAACTAAGTTTTGAATGAATTCATTCAGTCCTGCTCTTCTCTGTTTAATAAAATCTGGAAAAAAAAAAGATTTATTAGGAATGATCAGTCAGCTAACAAAAGAAACTTATTTTTAAGTTGAAGATATTTGAGGATTTTGATGGATAACAGTTAAAAGAGCAAAGTGAGAACAGGATTGGTTCAACATATGAAAATTACAAGAACATTCAGGTGAGGTGAGAGAACGCACTTCAGTTCCTCTGTAATGCTACTTTAAAGTGTGATAGGGAGGTGGATTTTAAAGCACTTCAAGAACTATGTGCAACCACAGTGTGCTAACTCCTGCAGCCTTCTTTGCATGGGTGAGCCCCCCAGGCCCTGATTTCTCTGGGAAAAAAGCCACAGGCAAAACTATCACACAAATCTTGTTTTTACATGAACAGTCCCACCAAACAGCATTTTACCATAACAAATGAAAACGGGAAAGTTGCACAATCATCCAGCAAGTGCTCAGATGTAACCACTAAAAGTAATTAGGTAAAACACTTTTCTTTCCATCTCGGACATAATCCCTAATGTTAAATAAGTAAATCCTCAGAATCTTCATGATTTTTTTTTTTTTTTTTAAAGCAGTATGGAAAGATATGCAAGGGATTTGAAATGCAAAAAAAAAAAGCACAGAACAGGTGTTTCATCACTTGTATCAATCACAAAAAGTCTTTTTCTTCTAAAAATTAACATGTACACACTTCTAAGGTATTCTAATGACATTTTCTGCCATGAGCAGGTTTCTTGAAATATTTGGAAAAAAACTTGAGAACTGTAATAATTAAGAACAATACGTTATTTCAGCAACATAACACCTAAACCTGAATTAGGATGTTAAACAATCCCCCAAAACAGGAGCGTGGATGCGCAAAAAGATTTTATGTGAGTCACCAGCATCAGCTACTTCTGATGCTGAATGCAGTCAGCCACTCTAAGGCTAGAAACCTATCCACACTGCTGAAGAAAAAATATCTGCATCAAATCTACCCAAATACATGCCATCATTTTTTGTTGTTGTTCTGACTGGTTTCTATTATTTCCCTCAGCTTTTTTAAAGTTACAATTGGATTAATGTTGAAATAACCTAAATGACAGTAAGAATTGAGGCTTTAGATGATAACGTATGTTATGATAGTATTTTTAGTAGACCTTGGGAAAGGCATTTTTCAGTTTCACTCTACTATGCTTATGACTACAATGCACCAGTACAATGCTGAATACCCACACTGCACATGCAAGAACAGACTGACAAAATTAAAATACCTTTCCAAAGCTGTAAAATAGACCTTATTTCAGAAGAAAGCAGAAACACTGCATCAAAGTTTTAATAAATTAGCATTAAGATCAAGAATTATTTAAATGAACATCACCCTGCCCTGCAGCAAGAAAAATCTTAAGAACTGTTTTCTCATGCTTCCAGGATTACAGAATATTTGATGGAAATTTAAAATAAGTCTGAGGATTGTGTTTTACATACATAATTTCAATGAAGTTTTAGTCTTCCCTCCGCCTCCTCCCCCCTCCCCCCATTTTAAATCCCGTTTCCTAAATCTGAGTCCAAGAAGTCCAATAGTGCACGTGGCTGCACAGAAGACCAGAAAGCATGATATTACTAGGTCTTCAGCCAGCTCTGAAGTCCCAAGGTAGGAGAAAATGAAAGAAGACAAAATAAAACAAGAGATCTTCTTTAGAAGAAGCCAACAGAAGAAAGCAAACCTGGGTAACTGCATGTGATTATTTTAATAAAAAAAATGAGAAGGAAGCTTCACGTCAAGGTTTAGATGATTAACAGTAACTGCTAAAAATTAAGATGCATGAAAGAACTCTTAAACCAAACACATGCCAAGAAGATCAGCCTATCTGGATCCACTGGTATTTCAGCAAAAAAGAATATTAAACCTTTAAACAGGTACAGGAGGAGGTAATACTTCAAACTTAGACTGATCAAATCAACAAGCCAGTAGAGGAAGGTTCTCAATGACCATCAGGAAAATCCCTTAGTAAAAAGGTCTGAATTAAGGGTATAAACACACAGAGCAAAGGCCTAGCCTGCCCATTTGCCTCTGTATTTATCTGCCTGTGGTTCTGCTTCCATTGATTCACTGCACTTTTAAAAGTGATTTTCTATTAATACTCTGCTGTGGGCAGGGAGAGCTTTATTGAGAGCAATCAGTCCTAATTGAATCACACAGTGGTCTTATCAAACAGGCTTCCAGAAATGTAACAACAACAGAATTCTGTTTTCATCTAAACCGTGCAAGAAAACACATTTAGATATGAAGTTCAGAAGCCTTCTAGGATAAATTCATTTGTTGCTTAAATTTTTAGCAGGAAGAAAAGTCACACAAAGCAAATATAAAGTTCAATAGGCATATGTTTAGAAGAGCCTGTAATTTGGATTTTATGTCTGACCGTTAGAATCTCTCACAATCCTGAATATGACATGGCTGGGAAGAACTGTAGCACTCAGTACAAAAGAGGTATGATGCCATTAGGCAACAGTTTGTTCAAAATCACAAGGAAGAATACCTACCCACGCTAGCTCTTTACTCAAGTATGACTAACCTTTGGTTTAGTCACTGGTTTGAGGATTGCTGCAATACTCATCTAAGATAGCTTCCTGTATGCTGCAACAGACCAAGTCTCAAATAAAGACATTGACAAAACAAGAAACAAGGTAATAACTTGCCGGGATCAAAATTATCTCCAAATATTCTTTTAGCTGGAATCTTCAAGTTCATAGTGGGAAATTGCTTCTTTAGCTGGAAATATAACACATAAAATGAAACCATGCTTAGACTTTTGCTGTGATTTTTACCATCAAAATCATAATTATAGAATCACAGAATGGATTTGGTTGGAAGAGACATTAAAGATCACCTAGTTCCAACCTACCTGCTATGGACAGGGCTGGCATCCACCAGCTCAGGCTGCCCAGGGCCCTATCCAGCCTGGCCTCAAATGCCTCCAGGGATGGGACATTCACAGCTTCTCTGAGCAGCCTGTTTCGGTGCCTCACCATCCTCTGAGTACAAAGTTTCCTCCTAATTATCTAGTCCAGTTAACTTCTCTCTTTTAGCTTTAAACTGTTCTCTTTTGTCCCTGTCTGTATCAGACAGTGTAAAAACTCTGTTTCTCTCCTGTCTATAAGCCCCCCTCAAGTGCTGGAAGGCTACAACATGGTCTCCTCAGAGCCTTCTCTTCTCCAAGCCGAATAAGCCCAGTTCCCAACCTTTCCGCATAAGAGAGATGCTCCAGCCCTCTGATCATCTTAGCGGTCCTCCTCTGGACCTGATCCAACAGCTCAACATCTTTCTTGTGTTGGGAAACTCAGGCCTGGACATAGTACTCTAGATGAGGCCTCTCAAGGGCAGAGTAGAGGGGGATAATCACCTCCCTTGCTAACCGGGAAACAGTTGGCCTTCCAGGCTGCACACTGCTGGATCAAGTCCAGCTTTTTGTCTACCAGGATCCCCCAAGTCCTTGAAAGGGCTATCTCAAGGGGTTCTTCTTCCAGTCCATTTATGTATATGGGACTGCCCTGACAAGTACCACACCTCACACCTGGCCTTGCTGAATTTCAGTAGGTTCTCAAAGGCCCACTTTTGAAGCCTGTCCTGGTCTCTCTGGATGGCATCTCTTCCTTCCATTGCATCAACTGCACCACTCAGCTTGAATCAGCAAATTTGCTGAGGGCACATCTGATCTCACTGTCTACGTCACTGATAAAGATGCTGAACAGTACTGGTCCCAAGACAGACCCTGAAGGACAGCACTTGTCACTGGCCTTCACCTGGACATAAAGCATCAACTACAATCCTTTGGCTGTGACCATCCAACCAATTCCATATACAAATACACACTTTGCATGCTTTAACAATTGGTTAATTGGAAATTTCCCTCTCAACATAATGATCCATGGCAAAGGAACCGATTTTGAGTTTAAAATTCAAACAAATCAAAGTAAAACAAAAAAGAAAAACAACCAAAACACCATTTTCTTTAAACAGGCTCCTACAGTTATTGAATGTTGACTCAAACTCCTCAGTGAGGGCATTAACTGAAAACACTGAAACAAGTGTTACTCTGTGTTATCCTGGCACAACGCCATAAACTGCCTTTTGCTTACCGTATTGTAGAGTTTATCAAACTCTGCATACCGTCTGAAGACAAACCACTCATTTCTGCCAACTGAAACCAACACTTTGTAAACCTACAATAACATAAATACACGTTAACGTCAACAGCAAAGTCTCAGAAAACCTCCCATATTTAATCCTTGGGTGAAAATAAGGCCAGCTTGTTAAATTTATTGTGTAAACATAGTGGCTGAGCTATGTATTTCTTACAGTAGTCACAAACATCAATCATCAATGCAAAGGATTAGGAGAGCAATCAAGAAAGTCTGGATGTTTTCAGAAACGACTTTTGCTTACCTGGCACCTGAAAGAAAAAAAAAGTTAGTATCAAATATCAAGGAAGTAAAGCATTGAAACACTGAAAATCACCTTCATTGAAACCTGGGGAGAAAGCGCATACGGATGACAGGTATACAGAGAACAATTCCTCCCAACATTTGAATGCATATTATAGTCAGGATCCTTGCGGATGGTTGGGAACCTGGACAATTCTAAATTCAACTGAAATCATTCTATGATTCTATTAATTCTTCAAAGTGAAAAAAAAACATCGCTGTGGTTGGAATGCAGTTCAGGTTACATAATACAGTTCTGGGGTCAAGGGAGGAGTAGCTGGAACCTGACGCAAAATTCAAATCCCATGACATCAGAGGACTCTAGTAACCAGGCAAACTGTGGATCCCTGGATCCATAAACCTACTTGAAAACTGGATCTCCTATCTCTTAATAAGAACTTTCCCTCTCAAGCAAGCAGTTCATCTTCCATCCCCATTTTCTTGTGTTTCCAGAAAGAGGGATACAGCAAGGAAACAAGTACAGAGGCTGCTAATTCCTCACCTAGAAAACTGGGCTGATGGCCTGGCAGCCTCCTTCCCTTCTGTTCTGCATCAATAGTTAACCCATGTTTTCACACCTTTGGGCTTCAATACTACTACCAGCTACACTTACCCTGACTGCTTCTAGAAAGGCAAGAGGAAAGGAAAAACTAACCACCACCTATCTAAAGTTGCTCAGATAATAATGTTTTCAAACTGAATTAAGTCTAAAGCAAAACTTGTCTTAAGCAGCTCCTAGAAAATGAAACAGATCCATCCAAGTCCTGTAATCTGTGGATAAGTAATACTTTCATGATAATAATAATATTTAAAAACACAAGACTAAACAAAACTCCTGAAAACATCACCATCACAACCATCATTGCAAACTGCCTTCTCAGATCCAGACTGGACAACACCCAGCTATTTCTCAATATGATTTCCTCATGGAAGAAATCATTGAAATCAAAAGGTTTCAATTCTGTTTTGGTAGCTTACACTGCTAGATTGAATATTCAATTTGTATTAAAAATACGTACAATGGTAGGATATACATCTTTCACTTTCAAGAAAGCAAGCATTGGGAAAGTATGAAAACTAACTATAGTTAAAAAAAAAATACAACAGCCTCCATGAAGCTGTACCTTATTACATGTTACTGAAAACTGAAAAGTTTCTCAGATTTTATCAGAAAAATTATGATTTCTTAGCGAGTCTGTGTTACGGCTGAAGGAGACAACAGAAGAGGTCAGGAAATACAATTAAGCCCTAGCCATTAAATAACACAGGGATAAAAGCAAAAGAAAGGAGGTCACTATAAAGTAAGGACAGAATAGCAATTAACATAGCCTATGGCCCAAAATGAGTATTTTTCCACTTTTTAAAAAGAAAAGTGAATGTTGAATCTTCAGGAAAAGAAGCATGACAGTGAACTAGAATGGATATACAAAGAGGCTGGTTACCAGGAATTAACTGAAAACAGAAAAATTTCATGGCCTGAACATAGAAAAAAAAATGCAAATGTGAAATTATTAGCTCCCTTCCCCACTTCACACCCCAAAGGGAATAAACATATCAAATACAGGCAGTACTTATCAAAAAACAAAATGAACGTTCAATTAAAAGGTTATGCAGATGCTCAGTAAGAACCAAGAGCTCATTTCCAAAGACTAAACTGAGAAGTTTGACTTATTTATCAGAATAAGGATTCTACAGAGACATGGCTGTTTCTAAAAATGCTTCAGTTAGAGTATGTATGAGCAAGTATGCTCATACTTGCATCCTTTCTGAGCCAACACGAAGCCAACCACAGTAAGGTTTGAGCTACAATTTATCATTTCTATTCAGATCAGTGAGATTTTGGAATAGTCTCTTAATAGAAGCAGCAATGATACGTACTGTAATCAATGAAGTGGTAAAGTTTATACAAAGTAGTCACTCAAAATGTTAAAATGACAAAGGCTGGGAAAGACTTTCTTTCACCCCAAGGCTTTTTTCCTTCTTAAGGAATTTGTACAGACATTGCCACAAGGAGGAGTCAACTATGACCTACCACAGAGTTGCTCAGAACTAAGAGTTCCCCCCAACCCTCTCACTCCCATCCAAAAGCAGAACTGACAGGCTCTAGTCATTACAACACAGCTATAAAAGAGGAGGCAAAGTGAAAGCACTGACAGACGTGCTTTGGAATTCAGCGTTCCTACCACAAAGTTTAGCATGACCCTCACTTCTGTCATCAAATCCTACAACACACAAGGCAATAGTCAAAAGCCTGGGTGTTGAAAGTAGCTCCTATCATGCTGCTCATTATTCTTTGATGCAGAAAGCAGAAAATGCCAAGACAAGGCACACCTCCACACAGCACAAACTGGGCTGGATTTTTTTTTTCATCCTCCTCCCTACACCCAATTTCTGATGTTTCTTACTACTGCTGGTAGTACTTTCCAAAGGGCATGCCCAGATAAAGCACCTTTGAGTAGCTATGGCTGTCACAAAGATATTTAGGTAAAGTGACATGGAAATCTAAATATTAGTACGTTCCACAGCTGTACCACATTGAGACTTTTTAACAGCAGGACTGTCAGTGCTGAGGCAATAAAACAAACTTGTTTTGCTCAAGTCTCGGCTTTTATTTTTATTTGCTCATTTGAGTTTCACACACATTCAAAGGATTAGTCTCTTGTTCCTTTTACCATCACATTTATGCCTCAAATTACACTCTGACATACTTGAAGATTGAATATCATTCTTCACTGAGGAAAAGGGGAAGA